ATAAAATATATAACATTATAACTATACTAAATTAATGTATTATTGGTAACTAAGGTGTTGCGAAAAAAAATATGATCAGTGAAGTGTATAATGTTGTGTCAAACAAGGTATGTAATTATTCTGAATTACAAACATTAGTACCCAAAAATGGAAATTTGAGGTCGTCATATTAATGGCATGATAGTTAGAGGTATTCATACCAATAAACACATGACATGACAGTTGCCAATGAAAGCCTAAGTGGTTAGAACTACCGAATCTTTAAAAATCGATTAAACCGGTAGAATCGAACCGAATCGATTAATAAGTTTTATCATAGATTTTTATATAAATTTATAACTATACGAATAATTAGGATATGTTTTACATAATATTCGAAAAAATATTGAACCTTACCTCATAAATTTATATATAAAAAATATATATTATTTAATAAGTTTAAAAATAACAAGCACTAAACTTTTTCCTTAGGCCCTATGATTATGGAACAGTTATAAGCCAACAAGCAATTAAAATCCTAAGTCTCAACTTCCAACCTATTATGCTACTCATATTGAAACTAAATTAGTTTTTCGATCTTGAGTAGTAGACACAAGGTATTCCAGCAATCTTGAGTGGAAAGTCACAAGGTATTGAATATCATCCCTTTCGTAAAATTTTAGATTTTCTTGTTAGATACTTAATCTTCTAATAAATAGTATTTTTAAGTTTCAGCTTGATTAAAATATTACCATTTATGTGATTAATATTTCTCTTGTCTATGCTCAATTTCTTTTACGTTCCAGTAGAATAGTGGGACGGATCTCCATTTTCGCCATCTTTCATGTTCCTTCGATTTATCACCATTTAAACATTAAAATATCTAGAGAGTTTTGCCAAAATCTCATTCAAGTACGTATATTATTGCGTTCTTAATTACTTTTACTAGCAACTCTTACATGACATTTTAAAAAATTAAAAATAAACCATACTGATACCGAAGAGAAACGAGATGATTTCGAAAGTCTAATATTAGTTATATGAAGTAGAGTAATCGAAAAAAATATGAATTTTATAAAATAACCGATCGAACCAAACCATTGGAACCAAGAAGTGTTGAGACACCGAGAGATCTCAGTTTCTCAAATTATTATGGAAATATGTACTCATGCCTAACTTTTATTTTTGCTGTTACATGGCGTCAAATTATACAACAAAACCAAAAAATAAGAACAAAAAAAATGATAAAAAGGAGGGGTAGAATAACCTAAAAGATAACTATCTTGTGATAAAACTTAATCCAACTTTATTTTCAAAAATCAAACTCGCAAAGTTGGTCATAAAGTTCAAATTTGATCTCGTTCAATCTGATTTTGAAAATCCTAAATATGTTTTAACATCGTCTAAATTTTCCCCATCTAGCGTCAAATAAAATAATACGCTGACGACAAATAATATAATAAAAAATAAATAAATATTAAAAAAATCCAACAAAGAACAGAAAGGGAGGATTCGAAAAGGAAATCAAAGCTCCTAGAAATTGCTATTTTAGTTGTCATTATTTGGCTCTTCCTCTTGAAGTATTAAAAATAAAAGAAAATAGTGAAAAGAGGAAATAATGCAAGGACAGTTTTTGCGTCTTCCCCAAGTGGAAGGATAGTTGAATAATAATACTCCCAAGAAAAAGCTGTGCCGTCACCGTTCATAATTCATATACAGCGCAGCCGCTTCTCAACATCACAAATCAAAACTCACACATTAATATAGTCCACAAATTCAAGGTCAGGTTGGTCCCCTGCACTATTTTTGCTGCTAATTTCGTATCCAATGACGCAGTATATTGAAAAACTTACATCTAATAATATTGAAAAACTTACATCTAATAAGTACTCATTCATCATTTTAAGCTTTCGGATTAGAATTCTGAAAATTAATTCATCCTTTCTGAATTAGTCAGAGTCCAAAGCAAACACAACAGGTGAAAAAATTAAGACTTTATTCGTTTTTAACCCGCGCGAGAAATTATTTATATTTGATAGTCAAAAAATANTATATATTTATATATTGACTATTATTTTAAAAGAGTTATACAATTTTATTTTTCCGAAAAAAATACTCATGTGACGCTAGGGCCTGGAAGATAGCTAACGTGCACTGGTGCTAATAAAAAGAAGACAAATACTCTCTGCTCTCTAATTACGCAATAAGCCCCTGAATTACAAAAAAGAAAATTGAAAAAAGAAATTTAGCTGAATCAATAATTGTAGCACTACAAAAATATCAACGTAAACAATACTAGAAGTTAGATACATTGAACCTGGACATGTTAATCTTGGATCTATAAAAGCACTTCCAACTAAACTGTTTTCATATCAGCATAAACCACAAATCAATCTCCTACCTTTTCTTTCTTTCTTTTAAGCTCAATAGTAATAATAATAATAGCTATTTTTGCTTCCACTATTTTCTCAACTAATTCAGTTAAAATGTTTTCGACAATTGCTGTGCCTTTTAACCAAACAAAGCCCCATCGCCGTGACATCTCCGCCATGCCGGAGAGTGAGATACTCAGGAGAAGAAATGAGGAGTTGGAGAAAGAATTAAAAAAGAGCATTGAGAGGGAAGAGAAAATGAAGCAGGAATTGCAGAAAACATGGGAAAGGCTGAGGGTGGCGGAGGAGGCTGAAGAGCGCCTTTGCTCTCAGCTCGGTGAACTTGAGGCCGAGGCTGTTGATCAGGCTCGGACCTACAGGACACGTGTCATCCATTTGATGGATCAACTCTCTTTGGCCCAGAAACTTCTCGAATCAGCTTCCATTACCGTTCCCAGTTCCCAGTGATTGTAGGGGAAATGGAGTTTAATTTGATGCTTCATCTCCATTTTCAAACTAGGTAGAGCACGTACGCCTGTAAAATTATGCGTTGGTTTCAAATGAAAAGATGAAAGATTAGTTACTCGGATTAATGGAGGTGTATATTGACTTGTTTTCGTCTCCGAGGTGTGATGGGGGAATTTTTGTTTGTAATGTATCTTCTTTAAGCTTTCTACGGTGCATGGTCAGGTTATTAGTTAACGAAATTTATCTGAATTTGATTATGAAAATTATTCCATACGTCCCATTTTAAAGGCCGTTTTAGCTCTTTTTATGTTCATTAAAAAAAATAATAAGTATTATAAGGTATCATTTACTAAGTTACCATTATTAAAAGTTTTTTAATTATTGAATTACCTCTTCCGTTCTACGTGATATTTTGTTTTTTTCGGTTTTTATACATATTAAAGAATTTATTTTTAAACATTAATTAACAATAAAATTAACTATATTAACCTTTAAACTTTTTGAATTTATTCATTAAAAATATAATAGATATTTCAAGGGTAACTTTGAAAAAAAGAAATTAATTATCTCTCGATGCATGAAACAATCAAATATTATGAGTCACAAAAAGATCAAAAAATCAACTAAAGTAGATCGGAGTAAGTAGTATTAAAAAGAAGTAATAAACTATTACTTCTTTAATATTAAGGGGTCGTTTGGTATGTGGTGTTTGATATGAGGTATAACGTAGGATAAGATGTAGGATAAATTATACCTTATTTGGTTGGAAGTATAAATTTATCCTGGGATAAATTTATACTGTCAACCAAACAAGGTATAAATTTAATCTCAGACTTAATTCAGGATATCCCACCTTATCCCACCAAATAGAGACATAAAATTGCTTGAGCTTCCATTTCAATAAGAAATTATTTTTTTTATTTTATAAACAATCACAACTCACTTATCAATTAGCAAATTTCATTAAACCATTCATAAATATACAAAGAGGAAGCTCAAAAATTGGCATGTTTAACAGAGAATAATTTCATTCATTCAAGATATAAATGAACACCAAAAAAAAAATAAGCATCTCATATCATTAATCAAAACAAGATAAGAAGTGGGCCTCAAAAGTTGAATCTAAAACTTTACGGTTTTACAACTTTGAATTTTAAACTCATTCAGACCGCACGCAAGATCTCAAACGGAGCATCGAAACTCGCCGACGACCTCAACTAAAAACCTCACTGTTTTGACTGGGTTTGGATGGTAGTTTATGGTATTAAAAGGGTTGTTCTATGAAGGTTTAAAGATTGTTTTTGGGTTGTGAAGCTGCTGTTTTTTTCGAATGAAAGACGAAAAAAGAATGACACAAGTAGAAATTCTCTTATCCTAAAAAAAGAAAATAAATTTCTCTCCATTCCCTCCTCCCTCTTTTTTCTTTCTCTCTCCCTTTTTTCCCTCACATTTTTCTTCTATTTATAAAAAAAAAATTCGGAATTTTCAGATTATTTATTTATTTATTTATTTATTTTTAATTAAAAAGAATTTCCACTTCCCATTTTCCTTATTTTTTTAAAAAATAATTCCCCTCTTTCCTTTACTTTTATTTTTTAATTTCTTACTTTTTTTTACTTTTATTATATTTAAATTCCCACTTTTATACTTTTCTTTTCTTATTTTCCACTTATTTTACTTTTCTTTTTTTTTTTATTTCCTACTTATTTTACTTTTTTTTTTAAAAAAATCAGCTACCCTTAATTTTATTTTTTAATTCCAACTTTCTTTTACTTTTCATTTTTTTAAAATTTTCACATTCTTTTGCTTTTATTTTTTTAATTTTTTACTTTCTTTTACTTTTTTATTAAACAATTTTCACCTACTTTTACTTTTTAATTTTATATTCCTACTTTTACTAGTTTTTTAATTCCCATCCGCAATTTAAAAAAATAATAATAATTAATTTTTATTTATTTTCGGGTTTTTTAAATTCATTTTATTTAAAAATAAAGAAAAATAATAAAAATAAAAATAATACTAATATTAATAATTGACCTTTTAAATTATTATTAATTTTTACCCTATATAAAAAATGTAACAAAGCTAAAAATATATATATTAAATTTCTGGAAATATTTACATAGTAGAAGGTGATAAAAATTCAAATATAGTAAAAAATTAGGTGCTCACAGCTGCCCCTTTTTGCTTGAAAACATGAAGAGTTTTTAGGCAGAGACTAGGTGAGCCATGTGACTAATTTTTGACCAAACCATTATTCAAAAGGAAAAGAAATAAAAGATAGGGTGCAACCGAGTCCTGGTTTTGGACAGCCTACATATCCCGGGTTATAGGGGAAGCAGGTCACGTGTAGTTCAAGGAGAATGGTGTAATGATGAGTTGAGGAGTCGAGTGAGGTTCCGT